TTTTTTTGTTTCTTCCCCAATTAACCTCTTTCCAACACAGCATTTCGAGTTCCCCTGGAACTTCATCGGTCCATCAGTGTCCCCTGGTCTGGAAGATCACCGGCTACTTGCCAAGGCCCCCACGACTCTGCTGCCGTCACAACCACCATCACCACCGTTACGAGAAAAACTTGAGACTGATGCCCCCCAAAGCTTGGAAGGAGCTGCGAGACCAAAGAATTGACTCGAACAAGTCCAGCTTGGTGAGTGGGTGAGTTTATTAGGACTTACACACAGGTCACTCCTGGGCGGCGGCAGGACAGCTCTAGAGATCTGCGCTTCCTCCCAGTGCTAAGCTGCTTTCACGCTAATCTTCTGACTGTTTACTTATCGGGTAAGAGCGATGGGACTGTTTTCATTGATTGGTTCTCAGATACTCTCTGGGAAGTTTGAGTTCTCAGGGACACCTGCCCCTCAGCTGGGGACCATGGCCATGGCCCACCTCCTGCCCTTCAGGGTTCAAGCAGGGGACATACACCCTTTAGTAACCTAGAGAGGACCGTCACACAACAACCACCCCAACAACCATCATCAAGAAGCCACTGGCTGACTGAGATACACGCCGGGAAGGACAAGGGAGAGAGGATGCTGGAAAGACAGAGTGACCATCACCAGGGAAAGACTTCATTCTTGGAAGGACATCAAACCTGGGGGTGGGTCTGTAGCAGGGCCACTGTTTCTTCTCCTGTATCCAACAGTTCTAACTCTTTGACTTTCTGCGTTTTTGGTTCTTTTCCTGGCCTTCTCATTGCTGGTTCCTGCACACCTCCCCTCTATTCCTCCCCCAATATATTCTTCAGTCTAAAGTAAACTGCTTCTTCCCATTCCCCGCACTCTCCAGTCCCCTTTCCTTCTTTATTCCTGGCTCCAGTGTTCCTGCCTTCTCCTTGGTGCACTTGCCATCTGCATTAACCCCTCCCCTGCTATGCTCAGCTGCAGATATGCCAAAGTCACTAACACTCAGTTCCATAAACTTTACCTCACCCTGTTTATCCACCTAATACGATGTTTGCATTTTGGCTGGCGTGGTGGCTAACACCTGTAATCCCAGCACTTTGAGAGTCCAAGGCAGGCGGACCATGAGGTCAAGAGATCGAGACCATCCTGGCCAACATGGTGAAACCCCATCTCTACTAAAAATACAAAAAGTAGCTGGGTATGGTGGCCCTCGCCTGTAGTCCCAGTTACTCGGGAGGCTGAGGCAAGAGAATGGCTTGAACCTCGGAGGCGGAGCTTGCAGTGAGCCGAGAGCGTGCCACTGCACTCCAGCCTGGCGATAGAGCGAGACTCCATCTCAAAAA